TTTAAATTGCTGCCCCCCCGCCCCCAGGGCAGCTGCCCCTTTCGCTTCCCCACATCGGCGGCACGGCCTGTAGGGTTTGGCAGCTACTGGACCCTGCCGGCGGGGCTGCCGATGGGGGTGAGCAAAAGGGGCAGCGATGTTAAAAGCCCGGGCACTGCATTGACGTTGGCCATGTACGGGTTGGTACCAACAGCCGGTTCTTACCAGTACGCCGTACTGGCCCGCACCGACCCACTTTCACCTCTGATTCCAGGGGCTACCTAGGCACCTGAAAACTCTAGGATTTTTGCAGATAAGATAGGAATTAGCCGACAGGAGCGCTGTATCTAATTCCTATATAAAGAAAGAAAATACACCTCTACCTCGATATAACACTGTCCTTGGGAGCCAAAAAATCTTACCACATTATAGGTGAAACCGAGTTATATCGAACTTGCTTTGATCCACTGGAGTGCGCAGCCCCGCCCCCCCCCCCCGGAGCACTGCTTTACCGCGTTATATCTGAATTTGTGTTATATCAGGTCGCGTTATATCGGGGTAGAGGTGTATATATATACAAATTGCAATTAAAGCTACATTTTGAGTTTATATGTAAATTTAGAACAATCAGGAGATAATACAGCAAAATATTTCCAAACCCAAGCCTTGAGGTCTCAATTCTGGAGCTTTACACAGGTATCAGAAACACACGTTTGATACTTTGTACTCTATCTTTAGTAGAGATAAATAAATCTGCTTAATTTCTCTAACAGACACATTCTGTGTTACTGCCATTATCTACTCTGTTTTAGTTAATTGTTTTTCACACCACTAAAAATGTATTTACTTAGTTTTAACAAACATGATTAAGGGTTTTTTCTCTTTTATTAGGAATGGGAATTAATTTTTCTAATTATTTTGGCATTTATGTTTACTCATCACAATTATGTATGTGACTCACTAACTTTTGACTCCATCGTTGCTATTAGTATCAGACTTGGAACTTTTATTTTTGTATGAATTTTAAGTTATTTTACAGATAAAAATACCCTTTGTAAATGAGCAACCTGCATCTGCACAGTGTCTAAAGTTATGTGTTTAGCTTTTTTTTTTTTTAAAAAACTGGCACTGCTAAGGTGAGTAGAAGCTAAATTTACATTCTAGGAGACTACTATTAGTTGATTGTACCATTTTAAGTAGTGAATGACAAAGCACAATATTGTGGAAGAAAACTCAGTCTTCACTCTTAGGTTGTCAGTAACAAGTCAGAGACAGTTTATTTTCAAGAATTAAATTTAAGCATAAGAGAGAAATAAAATTATGAAATGTGCAGACCAGTAAAAAAAACCCCTACAATAACAGAAGTGCAATCCTTAACCAACTTTGAAAGAATAAAATTACAGAGAACATAGGTGCCTTCCTCATTTCAACAGGAAGTAACAGCAATAATACAAGTGTGTGTTGGGGGGGAGAGTGTGTGTATTCGGGGAGTGGGGAACAGAGTGAGATAGGGCCTTATAGGATCCGGTTACTGTCATTTCTTCCAATTCAGACCGCTAC